CAACGCCCAACCAACTGAGCCACCTGGGTGCCCCTAGGCGCTCCTTCTATTTAAGTTCTTAAAGTTTCTAATAAAGTTGTTTTTCACCCAAATGGTAAATGATAAGTTTTTCTGATACACCAAGGGTTCAGGGTAAGTCACATGAGAGATATATTTTGAATCAAGATGACTGTTCTGAGCTACCTTGCTAAAAATTGTTGTCATACCACAGTATGACACAATCCCACCAAAGCTCACAAAAGGTATGTACATTTGCGGTTAGCATTATATTAGATCCAGGTTTCTCAACCTGGCACTACTATATTTTGGCCAAATAATTCTTTGTTGTGGGGGGTTATCCTGTGCATTTTAGGATGTTTGGGAATTCATGAGATGCCAGTTGCACTCCTGTCCCCTAACTATGACAACCAGAAAATGGCTTCTGACATTGACAAATGTGCCCGGGAGGGTGGCAAAATATTCTGGCTGAGGCCCACCTCATTAGAAGAATGTAAAACTGATTCTGGGAGGCTTGGGTATTAGATCTTGTGTTTTAAGAAGAATGGGTTGTTAATTTTGTTGAGCTATTAGTCTCTGTAAAATGGAAAATCTAAATAGATTGCCTTTCATTTATTCTGGGATACTTTTCCTTTTCTAGCAGATCTAAATCCAGAAGTGGATTTTTTTGTTTTAAGATTTATTTTTATTTATTTGAGAGAGAGTGTGTGAGGGTGCACAGGGGGAGGGGCAGAGGGAGAGGGAGAGGGAGAAAGAGTCTTAAGCAGACTGTGCTGAGCGCAGAGCCTGATGCAGGACTTGATCTCACAACGCTGAGACCAGGACCTGAGCTAAAACCAAGAGTTGGATGTTTAACTGACTGTGCCACCCAGGTGCCCCTCCAAAAGTGGATTTTTGGACAGGTTTTGAGGTTGACTATGGTGGGCAACTGCACTGGATTGAAGTACATAATTACATTTCACTATATGCTTTGATAAAAATCTATTTGCTTTTGAAGAGAAACTTTCCATTTTTCCACAGTATTTATTGATGTAAACTGACCAGGACACATTTTAATATGATTTTATGTGATGCTGACCGCCAATAAGAGAATAATTTCAGAGGATTTTTTTAATTACATAAATAAAGGAATTTAAAAATGTGGCTAATTGAGGATAACAGTACAAAATTAAGAGGCACTGTAAAGGGTCAACCATAAATTAAATGCATTTCCAAAAGAAAGTTGTATACTTAAAAGCCTCCAGATAGAGCACTTTAGTTTGTTCCATACACTCTCTTACTTTGAGCTTATCTTGACTTAAATTGTTACCTGTATTTAAGCCAATTTATGAATTTATTATTTATTATTTATTTTTGTACATAAATAAAGCAGGGCTCACTCTCACAACCCTCAGATCAGGACCTGAACTGAGATCAAGAGTCGGATGCTTAACCTACTGAGCCACCCAGGTGCCCCTGATTTGTAAAATTTAATCTAAATGAAAAGATAGATTTTTTAAAGTTGGATTTTCCATTTGGATTTTAATAAGCATGGGGAACTGTCTGAATTTCTAAGAGGCCAACTTTTTACTGTAATGAAAGACATTTTGGGTTGTAGAACTAGAAAATTGGTTTTTATATTTATCGTTCTGAAAGAGTTAGCTTTTACTTCAGCCCTTCTAAAATTTGTCTGAAATGTGACACAGTGACTTGTCAGTTGTTCTACCCTATTCCAGAAGACTGCCCTGCAATATCAGAATTATCCTGCTCTGCTTGCTTTATTTGGGAATTATGATTTCTTCGCATGATGATTTGGAGCTATCCCCACTTTTTATTATAACACATGGCCAGGTGACTTTTTAATGTTCTGCTGCCATTGTTCACATTAGTCCTTCTTCACTAGTTTCTGTCCTTCAAAGTGCTTTTTTCCTTGTTTAAATTCTGTCTTCATAGACTAGAGTTCTGATAACAGGGTAAGCTCCAAATCTGAAACAGTTGGAGACCATAGTAGCAGATGAAAATCATGTCAGCTGAAGCAGGGCTTGAAAGTAGCTCTGTGTCTGACTCTTGTGGCTCCATTATTTGGCATTCAAATACTTCATAGTCTGGAATTTCACTGTACCTCTCTGCAAGCAGGATACTATTGTCTGTCCAGTATTTCTACTCAGGATTGGTCATGCATTCCAAGGAGAAAGAGTCTAACTCCTTGCCATGTGACCTTGAACAGGTTACTTAATTTCTTTTGAATATCACTTTCCCTCTAAATAGTGTTCTGGGTGTGCCCATCTGACAGGACTCTTGGGAGGAGCACATTGACTTACAGCAGTCGTGTTTGGAAGATTCGTTGTGGGGCAGGAAATCTGTCCTATTCAGTGCCTGGTCCCTCACATAAAGCACAGGGTCTGGCATGTGTAGATTCTTGGGAATTATTTGTGGAGTAAATGAATTGGCAAAGACTGTAAGTGGCTCATTATCACCTGTAGGTCCACAGTTACTGTAATATTTTAATCTCATCCTGTGTACCCCCTGTGCCCTAATTCATTCCTAATTTTCAAGATAAAACCAAACATTTACCTTCTCTGTAGAGTTTTTTCCAGTGTACACATTTCTACTCCTTACCAAATTTATAGTACTTATTATAGTATTGTACCACTCATGAACTGGTTTGTATTGTTAACCTTTCCTCCCAATATTTTATTAAGAACAATTTCAAATACACAGCAAAGTCGATAGAATTTTATAGCGAATACCCATATACACACTAGATTTTATATTACCATTTTTATAGTACTTGCTTTGTCATATATGCATTCCTCCATCTATTAATCCAAACTATTTTCTAGATGTATTTCAAAGTAAATTTCAAACATTAGTACACTTTCACCTAAGTACTTGAGCATGCTGTCATTATCTAGAGTTCAGTATTTGTTTATAGCTTTTTCCTTCTGATGCAAAATTTACAATGAGATGCACAAATCTTAAGAATACATTGTGTATGGGTGTTGAAATCACACCGTATATATTCTGTAGCTTGTTCTTTTCATTTAATAGTATGTTTTGGAGGACTTTCTTTATAGAGGAACCCCAATCTAATTGCTACATAGTTTTCCCAATATGGATGTATCAAGTTCAGTTATTGATAGACATTTAGATTTTTCATACTTTGCTGCAGTAAATATACTTGGCAGATGTATAGGATAGACACCTGGAAGTGAATTGCTAGGTAGAAGGGTATGACCATTTTAAATTTAAAAATTTAATGGATACCACAAGTTGCCAACCACATAGTCCATGCCGATGAAAACTTCTGCCAGTATTATTTCCCTCTACCCACACCCACACTCAATATCATCATTTTCTTTTAATTTTTGCCTGTTGCTTTGGGGGTAAGTATCATTTTACTTTTTATTTCTTTGATTACTAGTGAGGCTGTATATGGTCTTCCCAAGTGGTTTTTAAGCTTTTATAGGACACATACCACCTTCTTATCTGTTACCTGAGTATTTGCTAATTGAAAGAGTGAACGCTGCCAAAGCCTTCCCACTTTGTTGGGTTGAGGGTGAAAGGACGAATGAGCTAAGTGTGGGAGAGGTTAAAGAAAGCTGAAGTTGCTCAGTGCATGCATGTCTTAAATAAGTAAAGGGACTCTTCTCCCTTTATTTCTTATTCTGTGAGAGGTAAGAGATACTGAGGTGGTTAGGAATTTTGGCTCTGGAGGTAGATTTGGTGGATTGATATTCCAGCTTTGCCTATTAGCTGTGCAGCCTTGGGCAGTTTACTTAATCCTTATATTTCAGTTTCCTTATTTATAAAATAAGGAATAACAGCACCTTGCTTATAGGGTTGTTGTGGGGATTATAATAATATTTATAAATTGTGTAGAATGGTGCTTGGGATTCATTATATACTAAATATTATATTAACTATTAACTCTTATTTTTTTCCCTTCTGCATGGTCAGTATTTGAGTGTGTGATGTGGTAGGACTGTGGGGAATGCAGACAAAGTTGTAAAGAACCCTACCTTGAAGAAGCTTTGGATGTTGGAAAAGCCCTGAAAAGACCAGACTGGATTCCTAGCCAGAATATTACTAGACTTTTAGTGTCCTGCAGGAAAGAAAGTGTCCCTCCACAGAGGAATATTATTAATAAGGGATTCTGGAATCTCCTTAGTGTTAAGGAATGTTGGAGTGGGAAATAACCTAGAAATGATCTTTTCCAGCCATGTCATTTTAGTCATTTTTTTTTAAGATTTTATTTATTTGACAGAGAGAGAGAGAGATAGAGAGGGAACACAAGCAGGGGGAGAGAGAGAGGGAGAAGCAGGCTTCCCACGGAGCAGGGAGCCCGATGCGGGGCTCGATCCCAGGACCCTGAGATCATGACCTGAGCCGAAGGCAGACGCTTAACGACTGAGCCACCCAGGCGCCCCCAACCATGTCATTTTATAGTTGGAGAAACAAACTCACACGGAATGAGGAAGTTGTTGAAATGTACATAGCTCCTTAAGTTGGCAAGTCTAGAACCATCGTCCTTTTACTCCTGGCCTACTGCTCTTTCATGATAGCATTTAATTGTTGAAACAATTCATATTTTAAAAATTAGACCACAATTATGGTACTAGGTTTTGAGAGGTTAGAAAGAAGCACTTGAATGTTTTTGTAGCATGTGAATGTGTCGTTGACATTAGGAATGATGGCATTTGAGAAGAAAACTAGAGAAGAAAGAAAGGAAAGGTGTATTTTCGTGTTTTTAAATTGGAGGTTATTTTTCAACTCCATAGTCCCAGGTTAATTCAGACTATGTTATTATTTAAACTTCTGTCTTTGAGTTATGATACACTGTCCACTGTGGGGCCTGTATGTGCAAGCATGCACTTAAACTAGCCAGTGATCATCTTCAGGATGAAGTAAATAGTTCGTTTTGGGAGTTGAGCTTATAGTAAATTTGGGCGACTGGTCCTAAGTTGTACACATTACATTGGGGTGTGAATTGGTTTGCATATCGATGCTTTTGGTTTCTGCAGGTTTTGTGGTGCATCCCTGAGCATGAGCGCAGAATGAAGCGACGTTTGGATGACCAGGAGTCACCGGTGTATGCGGCCCAGCAGCGTCGGATCCCTGGTAGCACAGAGGCTTTCCCTCACCAGCACCGGGTGCTTGCCCCTGCCCCTCCTGTGTATGAAACAGTGTCCGAGACCATGCAGTCAGCCACAGGAATTCAGTACTCCGTGACACCCAGCTATCAGGTAAGCTGGAGCCCAGCAAGGGACTCAGTGTAAGGGAGGGGCATTGGTGATTATGTCCAATGAAAAAAAATTGTATTAAGCATCCAGTTAGATACAAAATTATATTTATAGGATATCTGTAAGTAAGATATAACAAATAACAAAAACAATGTATATTTGGGTAATCACCACACAGGTTTTTAATTATTTCTATTTTTTAAATGTTTTTAAGTAATCTCTGCACCCAGTGTGGGACTTGGACTCACAACCCCAAGATCAAGAGTTGCATGTTCCACTAACTGAGCCACCGAGGAGCCCCTTAAAGATTTTATTTTTAAGTAATCTTCATACCCAACTTGGGGTTTAAACTTACAACCTTGAGATAAGAGTCACATGCTCTACCCACTGAGCCATCAGGCACCCTTATATATTTTTCTTTAACTCACTTTTTTTCACTCAGTGTGGTTCCCGAGGCTTACCCCTATTTTTGTGTGTAAATAATTGAGTCATTTTCATTCTTTTATGAACTATATGAATATATCCCATCAACTTATCCATTTTTCTTTTGCTGTACTCTCAGGCTGTTACCAGATTTTTATTTGTAAAGGTGCTATGTGACTGTTTCTCCTGGTGCAGTGGTGCTCACAGTGGCAATCCATGACAAGATAAGCTTGCACCAGAATTTAAATCAATGTGCTACTTTGTTTTAAATAAAAAAAAAGAAAGTGTTGCCATGGGGAAACAAAGGCAGCTGAATTAAATAGTGTGCTTATTAGTGAAGCAGTTGGTTTACATTGTGGTGCAAACTCCTTATCTTCTTGCAGCCCGCTCAGCAGGTTTGAGGGCACATGAAGAAGAGTTTTTCAGGTATCTAGGAGAGGGATTGCTGGGTCATAGGGTGTGTGCGACTTCTCCTTTAGCAGGTAATATCAAATTGTTTTTCAGAACTGTACCAATTTATATTTCCACCAGCATTGTATATTCCTATCATTCCATGCCCTGACCAGTGCTGATCTTTCATCTCTTATCTCTTTACTCTGTTTTGTAGAAATGGAAGAAATTTGTTTTTTGCCTTTTTTAATTATGAAAGTAAATATCACCCATGTTTTTTTGTTTTGTTTTGTTTTGTTTTGTTTTGAAAAATGATCCAAGATGACTTCTTTCTCTGACCCTTCGGACTTTGAGCCATTCGTGATTTCTTGGGTATCTATACTCACTTGCCTACCTATCTATATACACTTCTATTTTTATGTAATTTGAATGATACAGTATACACTGTTCTGCTATTTGCTCTTTCCACTTAATATATAGTGGACAACTTTCCACTTAAATACATATGTATAGATCTAAGTAATTTTTAAGAAATCACTGCATTTATAATATTCCATTCTAGGTCAATCTGAATCATAATTTATTTAACTGGTCTGGAGAGGCCTTCTTCATTCACTAACACTAACATGTTAGTGACTTTTAAAAAGTTATGTACTGGAAACATAAATTAGTGTAAACTTTCTTGAGAGCAATTTGACAGTTGTGGCAGATTCCTTAATTACTTTTTGACCTAGCAATTCCATAACTCCATAAATTTCTCAGAATCTATTATAAGAAGACAAGGAAGAGGGGAATCCAGGTGAAGTAGGAGATGGTGATTCCTTAGGTGTCATTCTTTCTCAGGAGTCCCCTTTGCAGTAGTACCATGCCCTCCTATGAGACTGAGGGCCACAGTGAGAGGACTGTTGCAAATCGAATCTTTAAGTTAGATCTTGGAAGAAAGGTTGCTTGTTTTTCTTGGGTGATTACTTTTATCTGAACAGATTGATGACTGTTTCCTATACTTGGGATAGTTGCATCTATTCATATATTAGAAACTATAATGTGCTCACATAAAGCTAGTCATCTCAAGTATTTATAAGCTCCAATTAAGCCTTTTAAAAAACTGTTCAAAACATGTATGTTGGAATATAGAAGCTCAGAATAATAATCCTTGCTAGAGATATATTAGAGCTTTCAGAATTGTCCAAATAGTTTCTTTTTACTCCTAATGTGTAACTATTGTTTGTGGGGATTTGTAAGTAGTTGTCTATTTCCCACCCTCCCCTCTGTCCAGGGGAATCTTTATAAATTTGTGGGGACTTCAAAAAAAAAATTAATCCTCTCTTACATTGTAGTATACAACTTCCATTGTTTAGATTAAGTCTCACGTTGTTTAGTCTTCTTATTTTGGAGATGTGCAAATCAAGGATATTGTCCTTCCTTAGTTGTCTTCTGTGGTGATTAATAGTTCTGAAACAGGAAAATAAAAAAAGCTTTGGAAATTTTGTGTAGCATTTTTCGCAATAGAAATGGAAGGAAAGGAGCTTGTGTTTTATTTCACTCTAAGCTTATAAGAGAATGAGAGAAAGAATAGAAAATAATTATGTTTGAGGCCAAACCACTAACAATTTGGAAGAAAGTTTTGTTTAGCAAATAAGGATAGGCAAAATAAATAGGGATAGAAATAGAAAATAAGGATAAGCAAAATAAAGCAAAATAAAAGTCATCTCTAATTCCATCACCACAAGATAAAATGCTAACATTTTGCTATATATTTGTCACCTAAAGTTTAAAATCTTTTTATTGATTCATAGATACTGCTTTCTAAAAAAATATTTAAAAGTTTAAAACCATATGCAGCACATGAATACATTTAACTCAGAGATTATGAACATTTTATAATGTGAAAATATATGTATCTATATTAGTGCTATTCAGAGTGTGGTCCACAGATGGCTGATGTGCATAGTTTATTATTAGTCTATTATGACATGTGTATAGAAATTGAGAGTATTTAGAAACTTACAGCGATTTGGACATAGTAATTTTGTAATATATCTGTAAAATGTGGGAATGGAAATTACGGGCTTACTTATTTTTCATTTCACTTCTCTAGTAATTCATTTTTATCGTATTTTATAAAAGTAGTGGCCCATGATGGATTGGAATTGAAGAAAACAACAAGATGGGACCTTTGCCATAGATAGTTTGAGAAGTATTGAGCCATATAATTTTTAATAGTGGCAGAGAATTCTGTTGTAATATGGGTGATTTCATTTCACCAGTTCCCTTTTGTGGGAAATTAGGATTTCTAATTACTGATGGTCCCCGACTTAGGATAGGATAGTTTGACTTCCAGTTTTTCTTTTCTTTCTTTTTTTTTTTTTTTAAGATTTTATTTATTTATTTGACAGAGAGACAGTGAGAGAGGGAACACAAGCAGGGGGGAGTGGGAGAGGGAGAAGCCGGCTTCCAGCTGAGCAGGGAGCCCAATGTGGGGCTCAATCCCAGGACCCTGGGATCATGACCTGAGCCGAAGGCAGACGCTTAACGACTTTTTAAGGGCACGCAGGCGCCCCTCCAATTTTTCAAATTTATGATAATGTGAAAGTGATTTATAGTAGAACCCATACTTGGAATTTTGACTCTGGGTCTTTTCTCAGGCTAGCACTATGAAGTACTGTAGTCTCATCTGATGCTGGGCAGTGGCAGCCTCCGCTCCTGGTCAGCCACGCGATCACGAGGGTAAACTACCGATACCCTCAGGCCATTCCAGTTTTTCTCTTAGTATAGTAGTCAACATATTACCTGAGATATTCAACACTTTCTTATAAAATGGGCTTTGTGTGAGATGATTTTGCCCAACTGTGGCTACTGTAAGTGTTCTAAGCACATTTAAGGTAGGCTAGGCTGAGTTATGATGTTTGATAGGGTAGCTGTATGAAATGCATTTTCAACTTAGGATATTTTTAGCCTAAAATAGATTTATCGGGATGTAACCCCATCATAAGTCAAGGAAGAGCTGTAATTCTGTGTGTGTGTGCAAAGGTACACATGCATGTCTTCTAGATGCATCTGGGGAAGAATGTAGAAGCCTTGACGTTTTTTGTCTGCCTTTTGTCGCCCCAGGTTTCAGCAGTGCCTCCGAGCTCTGGCGGTCACGGGCCCAGCATCACAGCGGTTCACAGTGGCCACCATCACCCGGCCGCTGTGCAGCCCCATGGAGGCCAGGGGGTCCAGAGTCATGCTCATCCCGCCCCGCCAGTCGCACCAGTGCAGGGACAGCAGCAATTTCAGAGGCTTAAGGTGATATTCAGCTCCTCTTCTTCCATTAAAAAGTTCTGTCTCTCAGCAGGAAGCATCGGCTTCAGTCTATTAGTAGTGGCATTATAACTTTTAACATGCCAGACTAGGGGTTGAATCACGAGTTTTACTTTGTTTTTGTTTTAAAACCTACTTAGATTTCCCATCTTACCCTCAGTGCCTGATCCAGAGAATTACATTCAAGAAATGTTCTTGGAATGTATGAATGCATGGTACTCAGACGTGTCAGGATAGAGGGACTGTTTTCGTATGCAGTAAACAAGGTCCATTTTTTTGGATATCTCCTTTTGAACTCTTAGTTCTTAGTATGGCAGAAGGTTTTATTGAGCATACACATGGTTGGCTACGGTCCTGTACAGTAACTGGGTCCAGTATTACCTTACGATTTAATCTTTTTATCCCTGCTTATAAATAGCTGAATGGGCTGGCATCTTCCAGTCCATCCTTGTAAAACACATGCTCCTTTTTTGGGAACCTTTATAAAGATTGGGGAAGACTATAATTGTGAATGAAGTGTCAGTGTTTTCATCTGTTCTGCTGAGTATGTGCTGTAGGTTTTCAGTGCTTTTGAAATTCATGAGGCATCTGTGGAGAAGTGGAGCTTGTGTTCCCAGCTAACCCTCTCTCTGCTTACTGGAATGTTACTTTTCAAAATAAGTAATTGTTGGAGTAAATGTTCCAGATTTCATTTTTTCTAATTTTACATTTATATAAAAATTTTTTTTTTAAGATTTTATTTATTCATTTGCGAGAGAGACAGAGAGAGAACAAGCAAGGGGAGAGGCAGAGGGAGAGGGAGAAGCAGACTCCCTGCTGAGCAAGAGCCCCATGCTGGACTCGATCCCAGGACCCTGGGATCATGACCTGAGCCGAAGGCAGACGCTTAACCATCTGAGCCACCCAGGCGCCCTTATATAAAATTTCAAATCGAGTTGCAAGAAATACAAATTAAAGAACTATAAAGAAATGGGATGTTGGGTCTTCATTTGGTCCTATCAGCCTAATTAAATAGTGTCCAGGTGGGAATGAAGAGTATACCCTTGAAGGATACTTCCATGTGTAGCAAACATT